TGGTATTAAATCTTCTCTAAATTTCTTTTAGAATTCTGCTGTGATTCCATTGGGACCAGGACTTTTCTTTGTTGGTAGGATTTTTTTTTATCCCATTTTCAATTCTGTTTCTCATTATTAGGTTATTCAGAGTTTACATATCTTTCTGACTCAGCTTTTGCATTTTATATGTATCTAAAAACTGTGAATTTCTTTCTTTCTTTCTTTCTTTCTTTCTTTCTTTCTTTCTTTCTTTCTTTCTTTCTTTCTTTCTTTCTTCTTTCTTTCTTTCTGTCTGTCTTTTTTTTTTTTTTTTTTTTTTTTTGGGGGGGGGGGGGGTTTTTTTTGGTGGAACCAGAGATTGAACTCAGGCCCTTGTGCTTGCCAGGCAAGTGCTTATTATACTGAGCCATCTCCCTGGCCCCAAAACTGTGAATTTCTTCTGTATTTTCCATCCTGGGAGAATAAAGATTTTGGAAGTAGGTATTGATGATCTTCTGAATTTCCCTAGGGTCTATAGAAATTTCACCCTTTTCAATCCTTACTGCATGAATTTGGGTTTTTACTTTTTTTTGGTTAGGTTAGCTAGGGGCTTATCAATTTTATTTATTGCTTCAAAGAATCAAATCTTTGATGCATTTATTCTTTGTATGGTTTTGTTTGTCTCCACTGCATTAATTTCTGCTCTAATCTTTATAATTTCCTACCTTCTTTAGGCTTTGGGCTTGACTTGTTCTGCTTTTTCTAGGGGCTTGTGATGCAGGAGTCAATCATTTATTTGGACTTGTTCCATTTGCCTGATGTGAGAATTTGCTACAATAAATTTTCTTCTTAAGACAGCTTTCACTCTATCCCACAGGCTGCAGTAACTTGTATCTGCATTTCATTTGACTGTATTTTTTTTCATTTCTTCTTTAATTTCATCTGTGATATACTGGTTGTTTAAGAGGTGGTTATTTAATTTCCATGTTTATGGTGTTTTTTTAGTTTCTTTTGTGAATAATTTCTGATTTCACTGCACAGTCTCAGATAGTAAGCATGGGATAATTTCAGTTCCTTTGCATTTACTAAAGAATTCTCTGTGTGTTAGTATATGGCCTATTTTGGAAAATGTCCCATGTGCATCTGAGAAGAATGTTTATTCTGTTGTTGCTGGGTGAAACACTATCAAGGTCTACCAAGTTGATTTCTTCACAAAATTGGTTTTGTTCTGTTATTTCTTTGTTGATTTGTCCCCATGACAATTGTATTATTGCTCATTTGATTTTCCATATCTGTTAAAACTTATCCTATGTAGGTGGCTGCTCCTACATCAGGTTCATAGATATTTATAATTGTTATCTCTTCCTGTTGCAGTTTTCCCTTAAGTACATAATGACTTTCATTATCACTTTGAATGATTTTTGGGTTGAAGTTGATATTTTCAGCAACCAGAATAGTTAGTCCTGCTTTTATCTGTTTTCTTGTGGCATGGAGAATTGTTTTCCATCCTTTGACTTTTACTCTGTCAATTTCCTTTTGACTTAAATATGTTTCTTGTATGCAGCATATTTTTGGATTTTGTTTCTTAATCCATTCTGCTAGTCTGTTTCTTTAATTGGTGAATTGAGGCCATTTACATTGATGCTAAAAACTGGTATGTATTAGCTTATCTTTGTCATATTATTTTCCTGCTGTAGGTTCCATAGTTTTTCTCTCTTTTTAATTACTTGCCCTGTGTTTTTTTTTTTTTTTTTGGCTCCTTTCTGTTGTTGTTGAAGTTGTGGTCACTTTTTTCTCTTTCTATAATATCTGTCAATACTCTTTGTAGGGTTGTTTGGCATTCATGAATTTCTTCAGTTGTTCTTTGACATGGAAGTATCTTACTTTGCCATTGAAGTAGATAGATAGTTTCACAGGGTACATTAGTCTGGATTGGAAGTTATTTTCTTTCATGTCCTGAAATACCTCAGTCCAAGCTCTTCTTGATTTCATGGTTTTTGTTGAGAAGTATGCTGTGATTCTGATGGCTTTTCCATCATAGGTGATTTGTTTCTTTTATCTAGCAGCTTTTAGTATTTTATACTTTTGCTGAATTTCTGAGATCTTGATTATTATATGTCTAAGTGTAGATTTATTATGATTACTGCTGTGTGGAGTTCTATTTGCCTTGCTTAACTACATGTTTAGGTTTTTTTCTTATGTTTGGAAAATTTTCTGCTACTACTTCTCCAAATAGTTTTTTTATGCCATTTGTGCTCTCTCCTGCTGTTTCATTGGCACTTATTATTCTTATATTATTTTTCTTTGTGTCATCTTGTAGCTGCATAATTGTTTTTTCCTGCTCCTTGTCAGTTTTAAGAGATCTTTCCTTTCATGTTCATTAGCTACACTGCTGTCTTTGAGGCCTAAAAGTCCATCTTCAGTTTCAATCAAATGGTTTCAGTGGAGTGCTTAATTTCCTAGATATCTGTTTGAATCTGTTTCATGCATTCTAATTCTTTCCTGTGTTGTTGTTTCAGTGTTTCCACCACTTTTCTGTTTTCTATTTTTTAAATCTGTGTCTTCTTTAGTTGTACAGAGCAATTCTTTCACAACTGTTATCATTTTTTTTTTTACCTGAGAGATTATTTCTTACCTTATTTCTTCTATAGCCTGGTAGACCTGTATCTTTACTTCAGTTGCTATCATTTTAGAAATTTCTTATGTGTGATTTCCAAGTTCTTGTATGTCTTCCTTTTTTTTCAAACTTTTATTGATAAACATAGCAATGAGACAGTTTCAAATCAAATTGGAAGTACAGTTTCAACAAATAATACACTGCATATATTCTTCTTAGTGGTTAATTGCTGTACAAGAAGTGGACTTGTGATCCTATTT